TAGGAAACTGGGGTTGTTAGTCAGGTGTACTCTTAATTACTAGGGATGTCCGATATTGGCTTTTTTTACCGATAACCGATATTGTTCAACTCTTTAATTTCCGGATACCGATATCAACCGATACCGATACCGATAATATGCGGCCACGTGGAAACCCTCCCCGCTTTACACTCATTGCAAACCGCAAATAGGCTTTATGCCGAGCGCAAAGTGTGGATTAATAAATAAAAACAAACAGCGGCAAAAGCTTGCGTGTGTCCGGGAGAGGGCTGCTCTCCTCGGAACATATTACTCTGAAGCCCCTGGTGACGGTCTGGAAGTGCGGATTTAAAAAAAAAGAAAAGAAAAAAAAAAAAAAAACAGCGGTTAAAGCTAGCGCTGTGTGTCCGGGAGAGGGCTTACTCTTCTTGGACACATTACTCTGAAGCCCCGGCGACGGTCTGGAAGTGCGGATTAATAAAATAAATAATGTGACCGCGGTACAGCGGACCTGAACCGGTTGTGATGAGACTGTTTCGCAGAATGCGTTAGTATGTTGCGCCTGACCCCTATTTTACTATTCAACGTAGAAACTAATAATTCCAGACCGACATAACTACAGCTACAACAGCGTCCCACTACACGGCCCGCACAGCCCAGGCTTGTTATTGAGACGCGCGCGGCGCGTTTGATGATGTCATCAACCACGTCCTCACTTGAAGCATAAACAGATGTTCTGAAATTATTTCAAAATCGATTTTGGTATCGGTTAAAAAACCGATACCGATATTTTCCGATATTGATTTTTTATGCCAATATCGGCCGATAATATCAGTGGGCCGATAATATCGGACCACTCCCTAGTTAATACCTTACTCAAGAACAAAACAATGTCATTCCACATACGTTAGATTTTCTCACAATCATATACCATATGTACCAAAGTACCCCCCTCCTGTACACATCTAGAACCGCAACAGTCACTATTCATCAAATTCAGCTGGAGAGTTTACTTGGGGGTCCAATAACTAGATTCACGAGAACAGACAAACCAGGAATATATATATTTTTTCCAATCAACCTCAAGAATTACTTCACCCCAAATCTTTTTTCACACTAATCATGAGTCCTTCCCAAATTAGGTGCATTGCCTCCCTAATATGATTATAAAATCTTGAAGCCCCATCGTTTACATGCCTTACAGTAATTCCTAAAAGCTTCATTTATTTCAATTTTATTTGTAGTCAATGTATTATTCTTAGTATGTATAGCAGGGATAATGTCCGTAAATGCTTTATCCCTATCTGCTAAAAGTTTACCTGCTCTCTCTCCTTGTTCAAAATATCTTTGTTTGCTACAAAAACAACACAAATTCGTCTTTCTTTCTGTGTTTTTTCTTCGTAAGAATTTCGAAGGATGTTACTTTGTCTCGACATGAGCCGGTTTTGCTTCACTAATTTGTCCATTGCTATGGCTCTTACGGCGTCCTCGTCTTCCAATTTAGAGATTCTCGACTCTGCTTCAGCGATCCTGCTACCCTTAAACGAGGGTAAAACCATCGCCTCAGTTAACAGATTATAGCCCTGTGTTTATTAGTGGCTAGTTTGGTGCGTGAATAGCATATAAAAGTAGTTGGTATCCATTAAAGAGGTCCATAGATTAGAAGAGGGACGCGATGCGCATCTTAATCCCTCAAAACATTACCATCGGTGTGCTCAAGCTTGGGGTCAAAGCCATGGGCCCTCGGTTAGGTCTCTTAGCAGCCGGTTTACTTTCCTTTGTCTCAATATGTCTTTATTGCCCCCCCCCCCATCTTTCAGATGACAGAGGGAAGCCCACACCTCCCCCCCTCCTTCAAAGACCCCCGAACTTTGCAAGAGTGAGCCCGTCGCCCCCACGGAGGCCCCGCCCTTCTGACACACACACTAAGACCCCCTCCCTCGTTGTCCCCCAGCAAGACCCCCCACACCTTCCTTGGTTGACACTTACCTTGCGGCCGACGTCATGGAGCCCCCCCACCGGCCCCGGAGTACACCCCCCCACCACAGCCCCCGGAGTTCACCCCCCCCTCTGCACCCGAGGTGCCGATGCATACCCGGCCCCCCCTCCCCAACTCTGGCCCCAAGACACACAGAAAGGACACGCAGAGCAGAGCAGAGTCCAAGTCAGAGAGCCATCAGCAGAAGGCTTCGGTGACACAGGAGGCCCATCCAAAAGAAGCCAATGCAGCGTAACGCAGCAGCCTGCCCCGGACATGACCTCGGACGCTCCCCACCGAGCCCTCAAACGGTGCAGTGGAGGTGGAGCCAGTGGTGCTGTCGGTCACCCCTGCTGTCGTCCCCCTGGCCCGTTGGAAGCCCTGTTGGACTCACCAATCGTCCAGCCCGAGGAGCTGCGGTTGCCCAACGGCCTGCCACACTGCCGGCCCCCAGGACCCCCAGGCCCCGGCCTGTGACGAGCCAGGCCGAGCGCCACGACCAGCCCCATTGCCGAGCCCGACGTCCACACGCCCCGTGTCCATACACCACGACCTCCACACGCCGACCTCCATACAACCCCACGTCCCAGAGGTCACGCCAGAGATGGCCCTGGTAATGGTTCAGTCTCCCCCCCCAAGTGGACCCCACCGTGCTTGTGGAGGACACCCCCGTGATGCGGACGTCCATCCAGAGCCTCCGACCAGCACCCCTGTGCGGCCGCCCCACCCAGAGGCAACCCCCACCCCAGACGCTCCCCTCGAAAGATGCTGAGGCTGAGGTTCAAGAGCCGGTGGCTGTCCCCAAAGAGGAGGAGGAGCAGGAGGTGAAGAGGGAGGAGGTGAAGAGGGAGGAGGTGAAGAGAGAGGAGGTGAAGGAGGAGCAGCAGCAGCAGGAGGTTAAGGTGGAGATGAAGGAGGAGCAGGAGGTTGAGGCTCCAACAGAGATGGTTTCTGAACCTGCACCGCCCCCCCGTCAGAACGCTCACCCCTCCCCCCGCCTCGTTGGAGAAAGAGGAGCCCACCCTTGCTATTGGGGAAACTACTATGCAAGGTCAGTCCGTCTGTGTGTCTGCAAAGCACCCATGAAGCAAAGACTACGCATTGTGTATCCATCTATCCATAGAGATAGATGGACACTAAAATGTGTTGTCGTATTCAGTTCTTGTTTTTTGTCCTCAACTTTAAATTAAATCTACATTTCTATGCTTGTGACAGTGAGTTTAAAGTAGGTGTCCCCCCCATCCCCCCTCTAACAAGCAGCTCAAGTAAAAAATAATCTTGTCCCCAAACTCATCAAAGGTCCCATTGTTTCCAAGTGACATAACAAAATATGTTCCACTCAGCAGCATGCATGTTGCCTCTCCATGCACCCCTCACATGACATAGGACCACATGACATAGGACCTCTCCTTGCCCTGATCACATGACACAAGTCCATCAGATACAATTCTAGGTGTTTGCCACCGTAGTGTGAAAGGATCTGTAACAACTTCCACCTGCGTTTCACTGTGACTAGCTAGATATCAGTTGTTTATGTGTATGTCCCATCTTAATACATGTAGAATACATGTTGAAAATGTTCCCCAATCTTATGTTATAAAACGTTAACATGACTCCTGTAGCTGCTGTCTCTGTGCCAAAGAAGAAGAGGAAGATGAAGGAGCTGAACAAGAAGGAGGCTGTCGGAGACCTCCTCGATGCCTTTAAAGAGGTGTGTGCCTGTCATGGAATATATGAACTATACAACACATAAAATATATAAGCTTCTATAGTATATTTAATTAAATAAACCTTTGTATAAAGTATCTTTGTACCTAGAGGTATCGCTCTTTCTCTCCCCAATTGAAAGTTGTTAAGTTAGTTAGCATTCGCATTGTCACTGGTGCAACAAAACTGGCATTGAGGCCATGCTAATCTACTCACTTCTTTATTGTGTAGATTTCTTTAGTTGTCTAGCATGTCTACCTCCCCCCCATAGTGTATTGCAAATGAACTTGTCCTTCCCCGGCCAGCAATGCCCAACATTTAACTCTCCATGATGGTCACTCCCCTCACCCCCCCTTATTGTTACTGCCCACGATGTGAAAGTTTCCCTATAAGAATCATGTACATCCATTGTCTCATTGAAGATGCTTGGTAAATGCTCCCATGTGTCTTCCCATGATCATGCTTTAATTAATTCAAATACTTTGCTATCAAGAAGTGTCCTAAAATAAATTATTCTTCATCACTGCCGCTGAAATCCTAGATGTGTATCTATTCTGACTGTTGTGTATGTACCAATTTATTTCATGACTTTTTATGCATTTATTGTTTTGCTTGTAGGTGTACACATTTTAATCAATACTGATTTACTAAATGACTACCTCTGTGCTGTTTATTTTTTTACATTTTTATTTTATACGGTTATAGTTGTACCTTACTGATTTGTCTTTTCTTTGTTTTGTCTGAAAGGTTTCCCCACGCACAAATGTCTTATTCTGGATTCCTCTTCTTGTTGTTCTTGCAGCAGGAGCAGGTGGTGGAGGCTCCCCCAGAGCCAGAGGCCCTAACAGCCCCCTCCCTCCCCACTGCTAACCCCCCTGCCCCGGAGGACGCAGACCTCACCTGGGAGGACAAGGAAGACAAGGACAAGAAGCTGGACGCAGAGAAGACCCAACCCCTGTCCCCCGAAATCTGCTGCTGACAAGAAGTACCAGTACAAAGAGGGTAGGTGTTGTCCTCTCTCAACTCTGCTTTCACAACACGTGCACTAATCTCGATTCCTCGGCAGCACAATTTTTTAGGTTTCATTATATGAAGAAGAAGATTAACTTTATTAATCCCACATTGGGGAAATTCGTTTATCACTCAGGCCTGAAATACATGCACACACACAAATACAGACAGGCCTACAGACATGCAAGGAGAGATGGTAGAGTGATAGGCTGCCACGTAGCGGCGCCAGGGAGCAGTTAGGAGTTCGGTGCCTTGCTCAAGGGCAACTCGGCAGCGCCCAAGAGGTGAACTGGCACCTCTCCAGCCACCAGTCCACGCTCCATACTGTGGTCCGTGCTGGACTTGAACCGGCGACCCTCCGGTTCCCAAGCCAAGTCCTCTACGGACTGAGCTACTGCCACCCCATGGGCATGGGAGTGGCTTTTTGCCCTGTTCTAACTTTTAATATGGTATTGTTGTGCGTTGAGAGAGGGCACCATTTTAACAGCACACGTGTTCTGAAATATAATGAAGGGTGAGAAGGAAGCATTGCCCCCTTTTTAATTCTCTACTACTTCTCCAGTGTGATGTCACATGGGAGAAGAACAAAGAATGTGGTTGCCGACTTGCACGTCCGTGCTAAATATCTGCTGTACTTATTATTAAGAACCGTGTCCAACAAAAACCCTTGGTGGGGTTTCTTCAATTCTTTGAATATTGAGAAATGTTTTTTTTTTACTGAGAAACACACAACAAGACCATAGAGATGTCAAGAAAGAAAACAATAAACAGTTGAAGATGCATAAGTGAAGGCTTCAGTTTCTTTTTAAGAGCATGGGTTCTGTGCTCGCTTCCCCCACTGCTCTCAAACCAGACTGACTTTCAAAAATAACCCCACCCCCGCCATCGGTTCTCCCCCCGGTTCCAGAACAATGGAAGCCCCTGGACCCGGAGGAGAAGAAGAAGTATGACCGGGAGTTCCTCCTGGGATGCCGCTTCATCTCGGCCTGCATGAGCAAGCCCCAGGGCCTGCCAGCCATCAGCGATGTGGTCCTGGACAAGGTAACGCCACACACACACACACACAACAGTACACACGCATATGTTTGGAACCAGAAGTAGTAGTAGTATGCTTTTTCTTCTCTATGGGAAAAGCATTTTTGCCCTTGTATACACCGCGGAAGCACACAATGCACTATTTATAGTAATATACATATAAGAATTACACCACACTTTTAATAGTCCCTAATAACCAATGTTAAAGTGGCTGCAGACAACTGTTTTGCTTTAACTTATTAATATGAAGCAAATGTTGATTGCACAGTGTAATGGCTACAGAATAATGACAACATCAGCGTTTAGATTGGTACACTATAAGCCTCGCTTTCTCTATGCAATTCTGTCTGCCACCGGGCACGTTCTCCTGGGAAAAATGAAGGCTCCATTTACGGCACAAAGGAAATGCGTCAACCATTGCGCGCACAACCAAACCAGTAAGGATAGCGCTTTTGTTTACCCTGGTAGCTATCAGTAGCTATCCTCATTAGCTATCCCCAGTAGTGGAAATGGCGGATAGTGGAACAACCGAAGTAAAGCAAATCTGATGACACTATCATCTGCGTACGCTACATTTTGGTTGCGTTGAGTATAATACCTGAATAAACCTCCATCAGGCTATCAAACCAGTTTGCTTTTCTCAGCACATACTTAATGTGTGTCTGCCTTCATGTCTCCATTATAGACTAAATTAATGAATAAACTCAGTTTTTCTCCTAATGTTTTATTCTACTCCCCCCACCACCCCGACGCCAACCCTTGCTGCCGATACTTTTTTGTGTGAAGCAATACTCTTTTCCATCAAGTGTTGATCGTTTCTGAGATTTCCAAACAAATGCGCGTCTTGTATTGTTTGTGGTTGCTAGGCTCTGAGGAAATGGAAAGCGATCCGGGTTGTCTTTGCAAAAATAATACCACTTGGAAACACTAGGGTGGGAAAAGTTGAAGTTTCTAAAAACATCTAATCATTAATTTCATGTAATCTGGTTCACAATTCTCAACTGTGCTCTTCACCAACTGCGGTCCTGTCGTCCTGCAGTTCACGATGGATGTATGAACAAGCTCGTGCTCTATGAAATGCCAAATGTACCAAAATTAAATAAATAAATATGTATTTATGAAATGAATAATCAAATTAATGAATACAGGAATATATATAAATGGGTAAACAAATTGTGAAATGACTAAATAATTAAACAATACTGAAGTCATTATTATGAGATAGTATTTCATGATTGTCATTTTCACAAATAGATTTAATTCATTTTTTATTTCATAATGACCATTATTTTCAAATAGCACTTTGGTTTATATCATTATGGTTTTAAAGCGCTTACTCATCACTGCACACTATATGAACGGGTTGGATGGTCCTCCTTATCACTGCGTAGACTGAGACATATGCATATTCTCATTTACAAGGCAATCTTAGGTTTAGTCCCTTCTTACCATATGTCCTACATTAACCAAAGTAATGATGGGACTTACAATCTTCGGTCTCAGGATCTGTTCTTGCTGTCTGTCCCAAAAGTCAGAACTGCGCTGGGAAAGACAGCGTTTAGGTTTGCTGCTCCCTCTCCCTGGAACAAGTTACAAAAAACTTTGAAACAAAATGAGTTGGTCTCATTGAACACTTTTAAGGGGAAATTGGATGATATGGAGGCTGAAACATCTAGCTGTAGATGTTTTGCCTGAGGCTTTTATTATTTTAGCTTATCTTAAAATGTTTGCTGTTTTGGATGCCAAGTGTTTCTAATGTTTGTGTCCACCTTGTGTTCGTGTGTATGTATGTCTATGCTGCTGCCTGTCTTGGCCAGGACACTCTTGTAAAAGAGATTTTTAATCTCAATGAGTCTTTTCCTGGTTAAATAAAGGTTAAAGAAAAAGAAAAAAAAAAATGATATATTATACTGTATATATTACACATTTCCGAGTGACTCTTCTTTTCTCCATGACACTTTTAATTTCATCATGACTTTTCATGGTGAGATGCTCATCTGTCAATCAACGCGATTGGGGCTGGACCTATTTGCTGATTAGTTCATCCTTTGCAATCGATGACTTTGCCTGGCTCAGATCAGCACCTTATGCTAGCAAACAGTGGTTTGTGTAAGAAGCGTGTTGAACCAAAATGGCGAACCTTAACGTGTTTCGGGATGCAATGTTTACTTTGGCCGATCAGGTGGAGAATAATAATTTACCAGGTGATGTAATTTTGAGCCACATTGAAGATTTGTATGAAATGCTGGGAAGGATAACTGCTCTTCATGATATAGACATTGACGAAGAAATTGTCGATACATTAAAAGTGATTGAACACCGAGTTTGCATGGCAGATGTCAACGTGGAAGTCTCATGGACGTCTACCTCTCGAAATTCCAGGGGACGTATTCCAGACGTGTGCATGTGTCTTAAATTCAAGGGTGTAAAACACATGGTCGGATCAGTACTCGCTCAAGTTGTTGATTTGGTCTGAAGGTTCGTGTTGATTGACAGATGACCACGTCATTATGAAAAGAGTCATTATGAAATGATATGTGACATTATTAAATGAAGTGACATTATTAAATGTAGTGACATTTCATGTCACTACATGACATGAAATGTCATGTAGTGTAATTCGGAAAAGTACCATTATAAAATAAAAAGTGCCATTTGAAAATATAACACTACGAAATAAAAACTACATTAAATGATTCTTATTGTGAAAATGACAATTATTAAATATTTCATAATAATTGTATTTTGTAATTGTAAAAGAACTGTGATCATTGTTATCACGTCTCTTGACAGACAAAGATTTATTTTGGATGATTATTTAGATTAAAACTTCCATGTCTCGACAGCTCCTAACTGTTTTCCTTTTGGCTTTGTCAAATTGAACCAATTTTTAAAATAGTAAATGTGCTGTGGTTTTACTGGAGCCACCTGTTTACTGTAAACCTGGTGTGTTCTCCTGGTGAACAACAGGTCCCTACACTAGGTCTACATGAGAGAACACAGCACTCCACTTCATGTTATTTCCTTTCTGCACAGGCCAATAAGAACCCTCTGCGCCCGTCCGAGCCCATCCGCTGTCCCGGCATGAACTTCGGCTCCGACTTCACGCCCTCCTTCGCCAACTTTGGCAGGTCTGGCATGGGAGGAGGAGGAGCTGGTGGTGGGGGAGGAGGAGGAGGAGGAGGAGGAGGCGGCGGCGGCGGCGGCAGAGGACCTGTAAGTGGTCAACCGTTCAATTCAATTCAAAGTCTCTCCTCTTATTTAAAAAAAAGAAGCTACTTGGTCACAGGTTATATGCACACCACTAGCTGATCTACGTATACAGGGGTGTCCAAAACCCCAAACTACTGCACATTATCATCCTTATCCTAATGGAGTGAGACGACTATGCATTGACACAAACATCTAATAGACGCTTTTGTCCAAAGCGACTTACAATAAGTACAATTTGGCAGAAGAAAGTGCAATAATATATAGCTGTACAGTAAGGATGTCACTAGAACAAGTTTCAAGCACTCCCAATTGCTAAGTTAACACATTGCTAGTAGAGATAGCTAGGGTAAGATGCTAAGATACTAACTGTAAGTGCCAGGACATATGAACATACAAGTGCTTAAAGTTTTGTTTTTATTGGGGGGGGTGGGTGGGTAGTAGGGGAACGAGGCTATGCAGAGTCCAAGGTGAACTCTGAACAAGTGAGTCTTGAGTCTCTGCGAAAGCTGGTGAGCGACTCCGCAGACCTGGCATCGGCAGGGAACTCATTTCACCATTGCGGCGCCAAAAGAGAAAAGAGTTGTGACTTTGCTGTGCAACCTTTGCTTGCTCTTAGCGATGGCAGTACCAGCCGGCCAGCTGAGGTAGTTGAGCAGAGTGCTCAAGCAGGGGGGTCTGACTAACGCTTAGAGGTAGGTCGGGGCAGTTCCGTTGACAGCCTTGTAGGCCAGTACCATTATGTTGAATCTGATGCGAGCTGCTACAGGGAGCCAGTGGAGGTCGCGGAAGACAGGGGTCACATGGGAGAATTTTGGTAGGTTGAACACGAGTCATGCTGTAGTGTTCTGGATATGCTGCAAAGGTTTGATCGCGGAGGCAGGGAGTCCTGCCAGGAGCGAGTTGCAGTAGTCGAGGCGGGAGATGACACGTGCTTGGACCAAAAGCTGTGCTGCTTCCCCCGTGAGGAAGGGCCGGATCCTGCAGATGTTGTAGAGGGCAAATCTGCAGGATCGGGCCACCTCGGTGATGTTGGCCGTGCAGCACAGTTGATTGTCCAGTACCACGCTGAGGTTCCTCGCTGTTGGTAAAGGACATACCGCAATGTCCTCGACAGTGACCAGTATGTCCATATGAGGGCAGTCTTTCCCTGGCA